TATTTTGTACATAATTTTATACTTTCAAAGTAAAAGAATATTTTTAGTTATATATTTTATAGGTGATAAAATGTATTGTTGGTAAATTTACTATAAAAATTGCATTTATTGTCATTTTTCTCTAAAAATGTATTGTTGGTAATTTTATTATAAAAATATACTGTTGATTATTGTTTTGGAGGTTCACTATTTGCTCATAGCTGGGACCCTAACAGGTTCTACCACGCCGGGTGAGCAATTAAGAGGTGATTTCACGCTCCTGAAAATCTCTAATCTCTCGATCAGAGGAGCATTCGTCGAGAGAATCACATCTTTGTTGTTACCAATTTCTAGAAGATATTGTCCAGCGTTTACTGCCATATGTTATGAGATATTACACCACAATTTAACACTTGGTAATCTTAGTTTCTAAGGTTATTATTAAAAATACACCTTTAAGTGCCGAATTTAGGAGCGTCGTCAGTGTTGAAGTTTCGGGTCTAAATAAACAACATTGGCGACCCGTCCGAATATGATCAGTATTCGGCCCGTACCCAGAATAAAATTTGCTACTACCTTTAGGACGTGCATTATATAAGTTCCCCGAGAAAACGGCAACTAATTAAGACTTCACGGGCTATTCCAAGTTATAGATCAGGTATGCATGGTTATACTGATCTTCCTACATGCGGCCAAGACAGGGTGTTTTTTGGAAGAGGAGAAGAAAACAAACCAATGAATATATATATATATATATATATATATATATATATATATATATATATATATATAATAATAATAAAATAAAACGATTTATTATATTGGCTCGTCTTACGACTTACTTTTCTTTCTCTTCCCCCCATTTAACTTCTTTATTATATCGTATTTTTTTGATCTTTTCTTTTAACTTTTTATTCGTATTTTTCTTAACTACACTTAACAAAATGTTAAATTATATTCACATTTTTTAATACTTTGCTCCATCCTGGGTATGACGATAAACTACACCCGGCAGCAAGGCCTCTGACCGGGAGGTTTTAAGAAGCTTTAATTGCTTGTAGCATTTGTTAAGGGTACCAGCTATGGGCAAATATTTAACTACCAACCTGAGGTCAAAATATTATGAAAGTATAAAAATGAATTTTTATAGTAAACTTACATTTTCATAGTAAAACTTACCAGCAATACATTTTTGAAGAAAAGAAAATATTTCCGGCAATACATTTTATATATATATTATATATATATATATATATATATATATATATATATATATAATGCACATTTCATTGAATACAACAGACAAGGTGCTTTTATTTAGTTTTTTATACAATTTCTCATGCGATCTAATAATTTTTTTTCTTTTCGGATGATAAATTATATAAAAACTGTCCGAATGTTCTTTTTATCCGAGCGCTTTCGGCTATACATTTAGCCATTTTCAAGGATTATATTTTAAATGTTAAATAAGAAATAGTTTGTTGCATGTATGTTTTATAAAATGTTTTCCTTTTTCAAAACACGGTCAAGATATTGTGTCCATGTTCAAAGTTAACATTATTAAGTGTTGTTTTTTTTTGTTTTTATTAATAAAGCTTCCATTATTTTTAGCCTTTTTTTGCATGTAGATGATGCTATTATATTAGTGTTGTCAACAAGTATGTTACGAATATTGTCCGGTAGGTCTCCATGAATATTTAAATAAGATCTAATTGAGCTATTGTCAGAAAGGTGTAGAGTGAGTCTGCGTGTCAAACATGTTGTAGTGTGGCCTATATAAATATTTACGAATTTTGATTGATCAGGAATACAATTCCTTAATGGGCATTATACGTAAATAATAAAAGCTCCTTGTCTGTCGTATTCAATGAAATATGCATGAAAGAAGGATTGCTGCCTAAACACACACACACACACACACACACACACACACACACACATATATATATATATAGATAGATATAGGGCGGCCTGACGATTGCGTCTAGCATGAAACAGCCTGTCGCCTGTGAGTGTTGACTTCAATGTTCACTTTTATATTTATATTCACATATGCTTTCTGATATTGGACACTTTATCCCATAAATATAGCACACCTTAGAACTATATTTCTTTATATATATATATATATATATAGCATTACAGTTTCCAGAAATCTATCTAGTTATATATATATATATATATATATATATATATATATATATATATATATATATGAGTGGACACTGAGGCCAATACCAATCTGTAACATGCTTGTACGCAATTTTCAATTTTCATGATTGAGGATTGCGTTCAAGCATGAAACAGGTTATCGCCGCTTGATGTTGAACTCAGTGTCCACTTTTATTTTTACTCTTACCCATAAATAAAGCATAACTGAAAAACTATAATTTAGAGGCAACAGCCACTCTTTTGATACATGTTTCCCTGATCAAAACTGATAAGTTTCCTTTTTTTTTTGTTATGTTTTGGTTAACCAATAAACTTTTGAACAATTTTTACATTTTTCATTAAGTCCAGAAAAGAAATCACTTGTACGCATACAAGAAAAAAACAAAAAGAAAAGTACTTTTTCTGATTTATTTAAAAAAACAAGAGACTATACCATATATATATATATATATATATATATATATATATATATATATATATATATATATATAGTCTTTAATATTATTTCTAGAATATTGAGGCCGGCAGAGGAAAATAAATAAATAAATACACTGTTTAATGAATAAACAGAGCCTCTACTCAGATATGTGTATCCGCTAAACATAAAGTTTTGCAGTGATAGAAATGTCGGGTTAATAAAAAAAAAAAAAATCAGTACTTCTTTAGAAATTGCTTTGTTTACGTTTCAGATACGAAACTGAGCAGTTATAAATTTTCTGGAATTTAAAGCGAGAAAGATGTGCTTAAAAGGCAATGTTCAACCTTGTTTAATCCGTTAAATGCATATCGAATCAAATGATGATTTCTCCCGCAAAGGAGGTCGTAGGTTCGAATCCATCCGGAGGGCGCGTTTTTTAACTATGGGGAACCCTGAAGGATGTTGTGTATCGCAGAAAAACAACTACATTGGCGGGGCCCCTACATGTCTTACTGAAATTCTCCGAGTTTTTTATGACACTATTAGACTCTACGGGATAGGGCTTGTCGCTTTTCAAAAATGGTGTCGGAATTTCGTTTGGGGTGCAACAATGGATCTTCGGTTTGTGAAATATGCTTCCGCCACGTATGCAATTACTTTTGGGGTGGACAACATTATGAAGGGCCCATCGTCAGCAAAAGAGATATCAAATACCTGTAGAAAATAGCAACAATTTCAGATAATATGTTGAAACTCTTCTTTATCAGTTATGTAATAAACATTCTATGTCATTGTATATACTCTGTCATTTTTATAATCCAGTTAATTACATTTAAAATGTGACCCATCATCATGGGACCCGCCCCATATATATATATATATATATATATATATATATATATATATGGATAAAAAAGACACAATTGTAAAATATATTTCTTCGGTATTGGCGACACGTTTCGTCAATCCGACTTTATCGACAATGACTAAGAAATATATTTTCCAATTGTCTTATTTTTATTATATATATATATATATATATATATATATATATATATATATATATATATATATATATATATATATGGGGCGAAATTGTATTATCTTCAGAATTATTCTGAGAAATTTAACACACGCACACACACACACACACACATATATATATATATAAGTTTATCTAAAATAAATACGTCTAAACTCATCCCTGACGTGCGTCAATGGCTTAGGGGTAAAATTTCCGACTGATACCAAATCAGTCGGGTTTCGATCTCGGCTTGGAGTAATCGGATGTCTGGTCATACTGAAGAGTTGTGAAGCAGTGTGTCTGTGCATGGCAATATGTTCATGCTATCGAGGTGAAAAGTGAATTTGTAAACGGTGACAGTTACTGCTGCTGATGCAAGACTCTTCGTTAAGACGAATCGAGTTCTCCGGTTACTGACGTGTTTGTCTAAAAATAATTACGTCTAAATTCACTTTCATCCCTGTCGTGCGCCAGTGGTTTACGGGTACATAAGAAACTGAAAATGCATGTGTAGTAATGCCACCGGGCACTTTGCCCAGCGTTGCCCAAGCAGAAGTTCGCCGTACTTATAAATATCTGGAAGCTAAAGGCCACCATTTTGAGCATCTCATGTGATTGTAGAGTCCAAAGGTAACTTGTATTAATCCCGTGATGACTGAATAAATTTAGTGTTACAATATCTATACAAGTTTTTACATTCCTGAAATGAGTATACATTTTTGTCTATCTATCTATCTATCTATCTATCTAGATAGATAGATAGATATGTAAAACATAATAAATAAATATGTATTTGTGTTTATGCTTAAATAATAGATTATTTACATTGTTCGGACTAGTGTACTCAACTTTGTCGCCAAATTTATTACAACATTTCAGCCGTTGTACGCTTCTTCAGGTGGTTGGAATGTCGAACTGAACTCTTTATTTCGCTCACTGGGGTTGTAATAAATATGGCGACAAAGATGAAGACAATAGTTTAAATAATGTAAATAGTGTACATAATACCTCATCTCAGAAATATAGACAGATACTAAATAATAGATCGTTAATACTTTTTCTGCCAAGCTGGCTTTTCGCGGGATGAGAGAAAGAACAAAATTATGCGGCTTTTGTATAAAAGCAGAACATATTTCTTTTGTTTTTGATCTGATGATGCCTAACAAGGGCGAATATGTGTGTGTGCGTGTGTTTGTCATCATCAACAGTTATATTATGAACGCAGAAACACATTTTTTGTAAAATAAAGACAAAGTACCTTTTTATAAATATGGCTTCACTTTTCGAAAAACTTGCTTTTCATTTTCACCAACCACGATTACAGGCACGCACCCCAAGTCTCCCTCGCTGGAAGATTTTATTTCCTTTTCCTTCCCTTTCTAACATCCCCCGACTATTTGTTCACAGTCTCATTAAACACTAAACACAACAAGAGAAAAGATAAAGTAATTGTTGCTCGTCCGAGGGACCTGAATAAGAGACGCCTCTCAAACTATCTGCGCTTACATTATATTCAAATGAAATATGATTGTCCCTTGCGCGCCGGACCGCCAGTACCTTTCTCTTGCCACTGTAGACCCCCTACCTCTAACGGCATGTAGCTAGCTTATCTTGTGTTTTTTTTCTGAATTCAGTTGATCAAGTGATTTACAGTAATTAACTTTTGAGGCATCTCTTTATTCGCTTTATTTCTCCATCTGGACGATGCAATTTGTGCTTTGTCAGACTTGCTTTCGCTAAAGGTCAAATCAAGTTTCCTATCATTAGGCAGAAGGCAGCAGTGCCAGTTTTGCCGGTACGGCCCCCACTCTCTCAGTCACCGCCCCCAAACCCGACCGTCATTTGGCTAGGGTGACGATTGCAAAGGACACCCCACCTGGCACGACTACTCTCATTATCCACACACACAGAAACGCACATAAACATATTCGCACGCACATTGTGTTAAAGAAAACCGTTTTCAGGCAGAAACACACAGACATACAGAGATACAGGCACACATATACATACATATCAATAAGAATCATATATATATATATATATATATATATATATATATATATATATATATATATATATATATATATATAATGGTGTATTTGGGCAGCAATCCCTCTTTTATGTAAGTTTCATTAAAGACATGATGAATTTGTGTGAATGAATAGCAGAGAATAATGGTTGTAGCTAGGTTTATTAGGATTAGATTGGTTCGCCTATCGCCCAGTTTACACTCCTCCTCCTCAGTAGCCTTTTGCATCTTTGTGGCATTATCGCCTTGATTGGGAAGGATCGATTAAAAAGTGAAAACAGTGAAAAAGAGAGATGATAAAATAACAGGAAGTTTTGTAGAAGCACAACTGCTCAGGTTCTGATATGGTACATTATAGAATATATATATATATATATATATATATATATATATATATATATATATATATATATGTATATATATATTCATTGATGCATATTTCATTAAATAATATAGACAAGTTTTGTTTATTTATATAAAGTAATTTCCTTTCATATTGTCTAATAAACTTAATAATATTATCATTGAAAGACGAAGGGAAATCACCATATTGATACATGTTTAAATCCAATCTAAGCTTTCGGCTTACATAAGCCATTATCAAAGATGACAATTACTTTTCAATATATCAAAAAATACACGGACGAAACAATAATGATAGTCTGTTTTTGTTGCGTGAAAAATTTCAAAGCAACGACTTACACGTGTATACGAGACGCGGAAGCGAAAATCGCGTCGCAGCTCGTGACGTCATACATGACCACACGAGAGCGTATTAAGTATGGGAAGCCGTTGATATAAACCAATGGCTTCTGTTATCAATTATAGGCATGTAAGAATATTTCTGGAGATTTCGTAGTTTATTTTGTTCAGTTTAGGTTTCAACTGTTTTATGTATATAACTTCAAGAATTTTTAGTTTTTGTTTATTGTTTTCATGTTTAAGTATAGTTGTGTTTGTCAACGAGGATTTTCCGGAATTCTGTTCGCGGCCAGGCATGTTGTTTTAAATGCCTAAAAATGTTAGAGTTATTATTCAAATGTAGAGTCAAGCGTCATGAAAGCGAGTTTGTGGTGTGACCAACATAAATATACACTATATATATATATATATATATATATATATATATAGATTTGTTTCAACCTTTGGAAGTAAAGTCTGATGATCCGCAGTCCTTTAAAAGGGCTGTGGTGAAATAATTTATTACATGGACCCTTAAAGTGGTCTGTTTTTATTTAAATTATTTGCTCTGGGTTTACATTGAGCTCTCTGGATTTTATCCTCCTTGGGTTTACCCATACGGATTACCTAGTTTTTCATAAACTATATATATATATATATACACACACACACACACACACACACACACATATATATATATATATATATTTATATATATATATATATATGTATATATATATATATCAGTGTGTGTGTGTGTGTGTGTGTGTGAGAGAGAGTGAGTGTGTGTCAGAAAAAACACAGTTGCGCTGGTAGGACAGATATATTGTTTTAACAAGACCTCAAGTAAATCCTAAAAATCTATTTTTTTTTTGGATTACACCGTTAATTCAAGTAGTTTCTGAAAAATAGGCCGTAATTTGTCTTGTCAGTCCACAGGAATTCGGTAGAATCTTTCATTCCTCACTCCACGGTAAAAAAAAGGAAAAGCATTTGATATTCGTCTAAATCATTAATCATTTCCGTAAGAAAAAAAGTTTATCTTTGAATTATTTCCGTAAAAATTATCTTTTAAAATTTACTAAATTCAGCCCCGAATGACAAGAATTTGATATTCATTTTCAGTAACTTCCATTTATTTATTTTTATTTTTAATTTAGCTACTTTGGGACATTGTATCCAGTGCCGGAAAACAGGAACCTTTTTTAATAATGTGGAAATAGAATGCAAATATGCATCCCAAAAGCTAAGCAGAGTATTAAGAGGCAGGAAAATTTCGTTAGAAACAGAGGAAAAAATGTGATATCTATCCTCCTGTGTGGTAGCGGATGCTGGACAATCCCTCAAAGATGAAAAAGAGACTTGAAATGTGGTTCTACAGAAGGATGCTGAGGATACCATGGACTGAACATGTCAGCAACGACGAGGTTTTGTAGAAAATAGAAACAGAAAGAAACTTATACATAACATTAGAAAGAGACAGTTGAAATTTCTGGTACACCTTAATGAGGAAGGCGGACTCTACGTTCGGCCTTGTGTCACATATTAGCTATTCTTGGAAAATCGCTATACTGGTCAGTGATGCATTGTGGGTAGTCTGTTATTCTAACGAGAAAAACTGTCACTGTTGGGTGTTGACTTTAATGCCCAATTTTATATTTACATACACTCTATCCGTGATATCGAGCACATTAGTCAATAAATATAGCATACTGTAAAGTTTAAAGATTCTCTCTCTCTCTTTTCTCTCTCTCTTCTCTCTCTCTCTCTCTCTCTCTATATATATATATATATATATATATATATATATATGTGTGTGTGTGTGTGAAAAGTGTATATAAATATAAATAAATATATATATGTATAATTATTTATATATTATATGCGCGGTACTTATTAGAAAGCGCTCAATATCAGAGAAGAGCTAACATATTTGGATGGATAGATAAACCCAAATTTTTAAAACATTAATCAGTTTGTCTGACGATCGCAAAAGCGTGAAACCCAGGGTCACAAACTCACATCTATCCATCCAAATATATATATATATATATATATATATATATATATATATATATATATATATATATATATTAAGACATTTTTTATTTTTATAATTTCTTTTTTATAGATACAAATGTCTTAAAAATAATTGTCGGACTAACCCTAACCCATTTCATAATGTGTGACGTCATTTGTTTAAATTTTTGATACGCATCGAGCAGATATGAATGTACGTGAGAGAATCATGGAAAATTGTAGTTTAAAAACAGTAAAATCGACCTTGTTAACCGAAACGCTCCTCTGCGGCGAAATCAGTAAAAGCACGTCAGGCTATATGACGGTTCCGTATAGGATACAGGTTCGATTCTTGTCGGAGGGCGAACATTTTCTATGACAATTTCTCGGACATTCCGGCCGGTAAATGTTGTTAATACTGTTTATTATAAACAGAGCATTTACTTAAATATTTGTATCTATAAAAAAGAATGTATAAACATAAAAATTACTTTGTGCATTTATATATATATATATATATATATATATATATATATATATATATATATATGATTGGATTATGACCTTTGGGAGGGTTCCTTGACTAGTTAAATTAGGGACACCAGGTCAGTCGGAGCCATCCTCTAACTGAAGACTTGCTCGTTGTCCACATGCTTCGTGCAGAGTATTCTCAGTATCCTCCTGTAGAACCATATATCTGTTACTCAAGTTTCCTCTTCAACTGTGAATTGTCCAGCGTTCACCGCCATATAGGAGGACTGATATTACAAAGATAGAGAGATGGAAAGGGAGAACAGCGAGAAATGTCTTAGAAGTGATTAAGCGACAGAAATAAAGGCAAGCAAGAAGAAAGGATAAAAGATGAAGCAAAAGGTGGGTTGGTTGGTTCCCAATGGATAGCAAACAGTCAAACGTCTCAAAATCTCAGATATGGGGTTTAAATATGAATATGAATGTGCCAAATACTTTTGGGTAGGCATTAATACCAGCCGTAAATAAACATTTTGGTTTGATTTGACTTGCAAATTTGCAACGTCAAAATACTTGCACAAGTCTCTGTATATATATATATATATATATATATATATATATATATATATATAATCGATCAAAATTCGTAAACAATTGTATAGCCCACGCCACAACATGTTTAACAAGAAGGCTCACGCTACATCTTTAACACTAGCTCAATTAGGTGTCATTTAAATACACATGGAGACCCTACTGGACCCTATTCGTAACATACTTGTTGATAATACAAATATAATAGCATCATCTATATGCAAAAAAAGGTTAAAATAATGGAAGCCTTATTAATAAAAACAAAAAAACAACACTCAGTAATATCAACTATGAACATGGACACAATATCATGGCCGTGTTTTGAAAACGAAGCATTCCATAATACTAAATACGCACATAAAACAATCTATATCTAGTTAACATTAATATACTTCAACCTTGAAAATAGCTAAATGTATAGCCGAAAATTCTCGAAAACATTTGGACAGTTTTTGTATAATTTATCTACGGAAAGGAAAACAAATTATACGATCACATGAGAAATTATATAAAAAAACTCAATACAAACACTTTGTCATATTTAATGAAACTTGCATATATATATATATATATATATATATATATATATATTGATTTTCTAAGCGAGGCCGAAAGTATGGCGCACCCAGTGATGATCGAACTCACTACTCAGTCGTAATTGTTCTAGCAAGACAAGCTTGCTAACCATTACTCCGCCTCGAGGTGACCTCCCTCTCTCTCTCTCTCTCTCTCTCTATCTATCGCTCTCTCTCTCTCTCTCTCTCTCTATATATATATATATATATATATTGATTTTCTAAGCGAGGCCGAAAGTATGGCGCATCCAGTGATGATCGAACTCACTACTCAGTCGTAATTGTTCTAGCAAGACAAGCTTGCTAACCATTACTCCGCCTCGAGGTGACCTCTCTCTCTCTCTATCTATCTATCTCTCTCTCTCTCTCTCTCTCTCTCTATATATATATATATATATATATATATATATATATATATATATATGTGTGTGTGTGCAATATATCTCGGGTTTCCCGATAAAAACAGGAGAGGAATCTGTCATCTTATCGGCCCAAAACTTGTATCTCGGCTGCAGTCACTTTCCCACCTCTGTGCCGTGGCGTCCATCTATATTTTCTGGAAATATTTTCATGGTAATTGTCCTCATGAGCTCTCCACTTTGATACCTGCATGAATCTAAACTTACTACGAAATTGGCAACTAAGCCGCATTGTTTTATTATGTAACCGGAAGTTCTATGCTAATAGTTTCTTTTCTGGCACTTCTTGTCTGTGGAACTCTCTTCAAGTTTCTTGCTTCCCTGTTACCTACGATCTTCAAAAATTTAAATGCCACTCCAATCGCCATCTTCTATCTTCAGGAATCCTATTCTTTATAGTCCTCAATACTCGCTCATGTTTTCTCATCATATTTCCCTTTCGTCTTGCGTCTTAGTGGCTTTATCGCCGCTTGGGGTGGGGTGAAACGATTTAAAAAATATATAATATAAAATGACAATAAATGTAAATTATTAAAATAAATTAGAAAAATTTTCAAAATTCTCTATTTTATGCAAAAATTAGTATCGAATTCATATCAATTCGATTTCAAATTGCGGATCGTTTTAACGAATCTGGTCTTACAAAAATATTAGAAAAATAGGGCTTGAAATCTCACTCTGGAGAAAAATCCTTTTGTTAAATTATGATCGGTATGCAACGGAAGAACCTATCTGGTTCATGATGCCGCCATGAAAATGACTTCCTGGTCTCTTTGCCGTGGGGTTGTTGTTACAGCTAATTATATTCACATAGTGGTTCGCAAACATTTTCATTCCCTTACCCTAAACTGATATATCCATGCCAGCAGAATACACCCCCACAAAATCAGAACAATTTATCATACTGTATTATTGATTAAACAAAATAACAGCGCCCAAATTCACTAACGTATTATATTGTATATACGAAGTTTGTTCAAAAAGTACCGGGACTAGTGCTCTAAAAAGAAAACTACAACACATATCAATTCGGTATTTAATCTTCTTCGAAGTAGTCTACTTCTGAAGCCGAATACTTTACCTAGCGTGGTTTACATTGATGAAACTTTCCTAGAACAACTTTTTGGGGAATATCGAACATCTGTCTCGTTGCATTCGCTTGGATTACCTCGAAGTCTTGTTCCTTTCAAATTAGATTTGATTTTTGGAGAAGAAAAACGTCATGAAGGGTGAGATCTGGGGATGGTGGTTGTCGAACCTGGGGAAAGATGTCTCGGTCCAAAAGTTCTGTACAGGCCACGGTCCCTGATAGTGGTGTTGGGAGACGGCCACACTCTACACCCTTTCCTTCCAAGCACTGCTAGAAACAACGGAAGTGAGCGAGAAAGTTATAACTTAGTGCGCATGCGCGACAGAGTTAAAAGTCAATCTGTGCCAAGTGGCTTCACTCTGCGTACTTTAGCCCCGTTATCGTAGCAATAGTCCTGACAATTTTTGATCAGACCTTATAGTCTTTAATGATCTATCAAAAATTACAAGTTGGAACACTGAGATAACTAATAAGAAGGGTGCATATGACTTTGGGTGACAAAAGTCTTAATACGTAGATTCGTTTTTGATTATGACATTCGTAATGGTAATATTAGGCGTTTCCTTGTAAGTAAATAGTCGGCATTTATTAGCCATCGGTCAAAGATAAAAGTGTAGTATCAGTTCTACTTTCGAAAGGTAATGATAATATTAGCCATATCATTAAAAGGAAACACCCAGGATTCACTGAGCGAGCGATTTTGCTTGAAATTTATAATTTTGTTTTTGGGGATATATCACCATTTTTATAGGATTCTTCTTCTTACAAATAACAAAAAAGTGTTTGACAATAAATTCGATTTTGTACATATCTCTTCTTTTATGGTGGTCATAGCCCTCCACAACTTCCTACCTTTTGTAACTCTTAGTAACGTTTATTTTTCACTATCTCTCCCTCTAATTATGCTGTCATCCATTTACACAACCTTTGTTACCTAGGTTATTCAAAGGTCCTGTCTGCTCCCTTTGCCTTCACTATCTTCTGGGAGTGTCAAATTCTCCAAGCCCTCTTTTCTCATTTCATCAAGAAATTAGAAGTGTCCTTTTTATTTACATTTCTCTTAAAACTTCCAAATTGATCAAATGCTCTGTCCATGGCATTCTCAGCATTCTTCTGTTATCTAAAACCTCCTCATTATACGTGTGCAAATTGTCCAGCATTCACCACGCTATGTAGAAGGATTTATAGTCCATAGCTGTTCAGCAATCTCTTCTTATTTTTTAACAATAATTTCTCGTTTTTAATATTTTGCTTAGCTTTTGGAAGGCACCTATCGAAATTCCAATGCGCCTTCGGATTTCGGCGTCACATTTTGTGCCGTCTGTTTAAACCGTGGCCGGTAATAAAGTCACAGGAAAAAAAAATTAACAGAAAAAAGTCACAATTTTTTAAAGGAAAATGTCACGAGAAAAGAACTTTGTTTTGCGATTGACATGTTTGGTATATTGCAGCAGATTTTTGAACTAAGTTGATTACTTTTAATAATTTCCATGGTAGGCTGCGTAAAAATTATTTTTCAAAACAAAATTAAGATTAGGCTTAAGAGTCAAGTTTAAGGGCGGGGGAGCTAGGGTTAGGGATAAAAATAAAGTATATTAAAATAAGACGTATAAACGGTGATAATATTGTGCTGTTTTTTTTTCTGTAATTTTTTCTTGTGATTTTTTCTCGTGACTTTTTCCGTGACTTTTCCCTGTGACATTTTTTATCCGTTAATTTATTTTCTTACCTGGATTCGTTGAAACACTTCTTAGATATTTAAAATTCTGCAATGCTTACGGCCACGTCTCGTTGAATCATCAGTTCCCGTACGATCAGTGAAGTTAAGCGGCGTCGAGCCGGGTCAGTGCCTCAGTGGTTGACCGCTTGCTCGTAGTGTGATAGATAATGGCTCAGAATTGTAAAGCAGGGAACCGAGTTCCAATTCATTATAAACCTTTACGCACAAATAAGTGAGAAGTGCGAGAGAAGAAACTGTTAGCATAGAACTTACGGTTACATCTCGCTATTTTAACTTTAAAAAGATGAGACGTTGTCGCTAATCTAGCAGTACGCTAAAATTCAAAGTATAGGTAGCAGAAAAAAAAGTATCTTTATATCGCCCGGTTCACACTTCTCCCCGGTTTTTTGAACAGAAGTAGACTTTTATCCATTGTTTCCTGTTTAGGATCGGGTTTCTGGTTCCTTCTAAAGTATTTTAATTTTCTTTCACTTCCAGAAGCCCCATGTGTGTCTGTAGCCTTATCGCCTTGCTTGGGGGGGATTGATTAAAAAAAAAAGGAGTCGGAATGTCACGCTCGGGGTGTGGCTTTGGAGTTAAGTGGGTGGTAGATAGGAAAAAAAATAGAACCACTGGTCTAACTAAGGAAAAAGTCTATGTGGTGAGTTCGATTTTAATTAGGTTCTCCACACTCGTGGCCTTGTACCAGGATAAAATATGTTTGTCTCCATCAAAACTTCTGTATGAGACATATCTATGTTTTTTTTCAATATAAGTTTATTTATCTGTATTAAGCAAGGTCCCTGTATGCTTTGAGATACCAGAGTGTATTTGTTTTTATATTTTTCTTTGAATATATATATATATATATATATATATGTATGTATGTAATCGCGTACGTACGTTAATTTTTCTTTATCTCTTTCTGTAAGTGTACAAGTATAAATGTATTTATATTTGTTGAAATGTCAAGCGGACAATTTGATTCGTGCTGTGCACCAGTGGGGAGGCCACCGGCCACATTTATATTTTGTACCCCCCACCCTCCACGACACATCTGTTTCTATGCTACTATAGTCGGGCCCAGATATCCCCGTGTAAGCAGCGGTTGGTCAATCTAAGGCGCGGTCTCTGTACAAGCGACCCGTTACACCCAACTGGATCCAACGCTCTCCTCTTTCTCGTTCGTTTTGATCGTTCTGGTTTGACAGAGGCCGTCCACCGAAATCAGAGCCCTTAAACGGTATTCATTAAAGCCGTTTCATACATAATGATAACAATGAAAAATTATATCTGACACACAGATTTGGGCGGCTTCTGATTGCAGACAAATTGTTTCCTACAATCCTGACGACTGCTGGTTTGTCACCCACCCTGTCTTCCCGCATTTTTCTCTTCTGTCTCCAACCCTTGTTAATTTATTCCTATAGTCTTTCCATAATATCCTGTGTTTATTCGTCCCTTTTCCATTCTTATTTCCTCTATCTCTTTTGGGATATTTTCCTTATATGAGAGACAAATTCTTCTTTCTCTTCCTTGACTGAGGCCAAACGGGAGATAATTAACATTCGAAGATCATGTTGTGCCAGTCAGGCTTAATTTTGAGTCTAAACTGAACCATGACATATTTACAAGTTTTGTACCAGACGTATAATGCGCACGTGGCTGAGTGGTTAGAACCTTCACATTCAGACCATGAGACCCGGGTTCGAATGTCACCATAGTCGATTTTTTTTTTTTTTTTTTAAAAAGGAAAGAGACTTCCTGATGTTATCGACTGGAGGGTCGATCCCAGCGTGTGGCATCTTTGGAAAGTGCCTGAAAACCATACCACGTGTTGACCCAAGCCTTGTGAGTGAAATTAGGTAGACGGAAACTTTGGGGTGCGTCGATAACAGTGCTAACACGAAGTCACAAGTCATCGTGACCGAGGCTTGATCGTGCTGGCCTTGTTCAAATTATTGATCACCCGTTAGATAACACGCTCTCTCCCAGAAGCTGTAATTAAGCATAGTTGCAGTGTAAACCACAGGTTGAATAAACACCAATACGCCTGAGCAAGCGTCTGCAATAGGGATTGGCTAGCCGCACTAGAAAACGGGAGTCCTCGAATACAAGTGGCCAGTTATACTATGCTAAACGCAACAGTTTATGTTTTATAAACATTAAATTCTCGATATCCTTTCATTTTCTCATGTTGGGTGGTGGCACCTGTTAGGGTCCTAGCTACGGGAAAATAGTGAACCCCACAAAACAAAAATGAAAACACTAGGAAGGTACTAAAATACATTTTTATTGTAGAAATACTGGAAACACATTTCATGAAAAAAAATATCAACTATACATTTTTGTAGTGAAATTACCAGCAATAAATTTTATAGTAAAATTATCGACCTTTATATTTTTATAGTAAAATAACCGGCAATACATTTTATAGTAGAATTTTTTAAAAGTAAGTTCACCCCAAGCAAGGCAGTAAAGCCACTATGACACAAGGGGTTATTGGGCGTAGAAAAATTAGAAAACAGAAACTTTACGAAGGAACGAGAAAAAAGGAAGAGTAATCAAGAGGACAGTAGATAACGATTGACATTGCATTTAAGTTTTTGAAGATTAAAGTTGGCTGAAAAGCATGGAGTTGTGAGTTTGAGAAAAATTGTTAGTGGAGAACTTACGGTACATCTAGCCAACTCACCTATAAATTGATGTGACCTCGTCGCCAGTCTAATACTCTGCGTAAATTCATCAAGCCTAGGTACAATAGGCAAGTGCTCATTTGAGCAATTACCATGAAATTATTTATAGAAAAGGCAAAGGAACGTAACTTTACGGCGGCGGGAAAGTGACTGAAGCCGAGCTGCCAGATTAGGACCAATAATATTGCTGGTTCTTCTTTGGATTTTATCAAGGATCTTTAGATAAATAGCAGAGGCACTGAACCATATGTGACAGTAATATTCTAAGCATGGACAAATGGTAGACTTATAGATATGTAAGATAGATTCTAGAGAGAAAAAATTGTCTAGCACGACACAGTGAACCAACTTTCTTAGCTGTGGACCTAGCAATAGATTCGATAAAGTCTTTCTACTTCACGTCATCCGAAGACGTGAGCCCGAGAAGGCGCATTAAGTCGCTTTCCTGGAGGTTAGCATCAGCCATACTGATAGAGGGTGGAGCTTGTTTCTTAGATGATTTAATCAATAGGATTATATATGTACCCAGTATATGTGTGTCTGTGCATGTAGAGTGTGGTCAAATAACAACGAGAGTCCTTGTTAAGGGTTTTTTTTGTTTATTTTTTCTATATTTCAGACTATTTTTATTGTTTCCAGTGAAAGTAAGTTATACCTATAGTACAAACTAATATGGAACCAAGTGTTTACATTCATAACCAAATTACATCCCCACCCTAAAAACATAAATGTAAATTAAGCACATTTTAGTAAGCTTTACTGGTGTCTGTATCAAAGATCGACGCCATTATATGTTTCATCTATGTTGACCGTATTATAGTGTCTTTGTTATCCTTTATGTCGTCGTCGTACACAAAATTCTGGGTATGACAATGAACTACATACTGCAGCAAAGCCACTGATTGGGAGATTGAAGGTTTTGAGGAGCATGGAACCACTACTTAATTGCTATTGTTCTCAGGTCCACTATGAAACGGGGTGGTAGCACCTGTTAGGGTCCCAACCATGGGCAAATAGTAATCCACGAAAACAGAAATCAAAACACTAGGAAAGTATAAAAATATAATTTTTATAGTAAAAGTACTAGGAATACATTTTTATAAAAAAAATTACCAACAATACATTTTGTAGTGAAATTACCAACATCACTCTTTTATAAAAAATATTATTATTAACATTACATTTTTATATCAAAATGACCAGCAATACATTTTATAAGAAAATGACTAACAATAAATTTATTGTAAACTGTGGTAACTTTGACCTTTGGGGTAACTGTAACCTTTGGGGTAGCTGTGACCGATTTTGGGAATTTGAAAAAAATGACCACTATTGTAATTTTATCAATGGAATCGCAACTTTTGTTCTTTTACTGGTGAGAGTGGCCATTTTTTGTTAGTTTAAAGACATTCATTTTGAAAGACTTTCCACATATAAGAAAAGCAGCAAATTTGCAAACCATAATTTCTGTGTATAAAAAGTGCTTCTCAAAATGTTGTTGGTGTGAAGACTTTAAAGCAACTTTATAGGAAAAAGATAAGTTATTTGAGAAGCTTAGAGGTCAAATAACAAGAAACATGGTCTTGAAGGTCAATGATTCTCAAGGAACTTGTCAACTAGGGTAATCAAAGTCGCCCCAAGACAGTCAGAACGTTTGGGATAACTTTGACTACTAAGCTGGAAGCAATTTTTAAAAGCCCTGTACACAAACTATTTCCCAGAATGCATTGTTCTGACAAGACTGCGCATGCCTTTTTTTTCCTGTCAAGATTTCAAGGAAGAGAGTCAAAGGAAAACAAAAGTGAGTGATTTTTCTTGATTTATCCTTTTTGATATTAATCAATCAATCATAAGATTTGTTTTTTTCGTAATGTAATAAACGCAATTTATCTTTAGTTTCAATATTTTGAATTAAATTGAAAGAATATATAGAAATCCTGCGACAAATGTTCTCAGAAGCCTTATTTTATAGGTGGTCAAAGTTACCAGTCCAGACACAACAAGCATTTATGTACATAGGAAAGTTTGCAAACAGGTAGAGTGATCAAAGTTACCCCATTGCCGGGTAACATTGACCACCATGTACAAAGCCTTTTTTCTCTGACATCAAACAGCTAATTTCCACCTTATCTTCACATATGTAGCAGTTTAGTCCATGCACAACTTTTGCCATCACTATTTGCATCAAATATACATCCACTAAACAGAATTTTCAACTTTTACCCAAAAAGTGGAACAAAGTCACGGTAAATGTTTATAGAAAAATGACCATTTTATTGTAGAATTACCAACAGTATATTTAATAATAAAATTACCAACAATGTATTTTTATAGTAAAATAATTAACAGTAATTTTTTATAGCCAAATGAAAATTACTAAAAAGTATAAAATACATTTTTATAGTAAAATTGCTAGCAATACATTTTATTAAAAAATGACTAAGAACAGATTTTTCTCGTGAAATGACTAACATACATTTTTTAAAAGAAATTACCAATAACACATTTTATCATCTATAAACTATATATCTAAAGAAATATATGTTTGCCCTGAATGTATAAAATTATGTACAAAACATCTGTAGTTAAATGCATAAAATTATGTTCAAAATACTTCGGCATTAAATAATCCATAGAATCTGATATGGCGCTAAACAAAATCTTCCAACCAACCAACTCATGATGTGTCCCAGACTTTTCCCGTTTCTCTTTCTAATTGTAAGCACACGTTTTCTTGTATTTTCTATTTTTGAAAAACTTCCTCGTTTCTTACATGTTATTTCTATGATATTCACGGCATTTGTCTGCAGAGGCACATCTCCCCTCACTTCAAGTGTCTTCCTAATCTATGAGTAGATTAGCAAGCATTCAGTGAGGGAGATGTGTACACATATTTAACAATGGCTACATTTTGAACTAAGAGAAAAAAAGAAAAGGATCTCGTACGATTTTAACAGCAAGAAAATGCATCGTATGGCACAAGGACAAAAATATGAGGCACTCATGATGCTCGATTGCACTGTCAATGAAGGTCGTCGCCTTGAAAGTTTATAGGGTTCCAAGTTCATCTCCAGGCATCAAATGGAATTCATCAATCGCTGAATAAGCAAAAAATGCCTCCTCATCGATGTGTCAGTTCCTAGTGACCATGATATAAAGGTCAAAGAAAGTTTAAAATGTACACTGACCTCCGGATTGAGGGGCCCAGAATGTGGGATGTTCAGCTCAATATTGACCCAGTTGTTACTGGAAAGTTGGGGTCTATATAACCGCATCCATAGGCCTACGTTAAGAAAATCTGAATAAAGTTTTGTATCTCATTACTTCAGAAATCTTCATTGCCTGGCTCTGTAATTATTCTGCAAAAGCTGATATCTGATTGAGGTCGTACGACTTGATGGAGAACACTCATATAGCGAAACCGCGTGAAAGAAGAGATAATAATAATAATAATAATAATAATAATAATCCAATAACATGTCTGTCTGCCAGGAATAAATTGATCATGTCTGTCCTGACGAACTCTGTTTACTCTTTTCTTGAAGAAAACAACATTCTTTCTCAGGAAATGAAGGGATGCAGGATGGGTTAATATAGTTGCAAAGATCAACAATTGATAAACAAAATAATCTTAGAAAATTGCAGGAAAAGACTTAGAAATCTCAGCACAACATGAATAAATTACTGCAAAGCCTTTGATAGTGAGCCACACTCCTGGATCCTTAAAACTTTGGAAATGTCCAAAGTCTCCTCAGTGATAGTAAATCTCCTTAAACCAGCATGGGAATGTGGAAAACCACATTATACCTAAATCCCACCAAAGGTATGGCTACTTTAAGTTGCGTGAA